CTCTGATGGGAACAGTCCATGTAAGGGGGCACTCTGATGGGAACAGTCCATGTAAGGGGGCACTCTGATGGGAACAGTCCATGTAAGGGGGGCACTCTGATGGGAACAGTCCATGTAAGGGGGCACTCTGATGGGAACAGTCCATGTAAGGGGGCACTCTGATGGGAACAGTCCATGTAAGGGGGCACTCTGATGGGAACAGTCCATGTAAGGGGGCACTCTGATGGGAACAGTCCATGTAAGGGGGCACTCTGATGGGAACAGTCCATGTAAAGGGGGCACTCTGATGGGAACAGTCCATGTAAAGGGGCACTCTGATGGGAACAGTCCATGTAAGGGGGCACTCTGATGGGAACAGTCCATGTAAAGGGGGCACTCTGATGGGAACAGTCCATGTAAGGGGGCACTCTGATGGGAACAGTCCATGTAAAGGGGCACTCTGATGGGAACAGTCCATGTAAGGGGGCACTCTGATGGGAACAGTCCATGTAAAGGGGCACTCTGATGGGAACAGTCCATGTAAGGGGGCACTCTGATGGGAACAGTCCATGTAAGGGGGCACTCTGATGGGAACAGTCCATGTAAGGGGGCACTCTGATGGGAACAGTCCATGTTAAGGGGGCACTCTGATGGGAACAGTCCATGTAAGGGGGCACTCTGATGGGAACAGTCCATGTGTAAGGGGGCACTCCGATGGGAACAGTCCATGTAAGGGGGCACTCTGATGGGAACAGTCCATGTAAGGGGGCACTCTGATGGGAACAGTCCATGTAAGGGGGCACTCTGATGGGAACAGTCCATGTAAGGGGGCACTCTGATGGGAACAGTCCATGTAAGGGGGCACTCTGATGGGAACAGTCCATGTAAGGGGGCACTCTGATGGGAACAGTCCATGTAAGGGGGCACTCTGATGGGAACAGTCCATGTAAGGGGGCACTCTGATGGGAACAGTCCATGTAAGGGGGCACTCTGATGGGAACAGTCCATGTAAGGGGGCACTCTGATGGGAACAGTCCATGTAAGGGGGCACTCTGATGGGAACAGTCCATGTAAGGGGGGGCTCTGATGGGAAACACAGTCCATGTAAGGGGGCACTCTGATGGGAACAGTCCCAAGGGGGGGTAAGGGGGCACTCTCATGGGAACAGTCCATGTAAGGGGGCACTCTGATGGGAACAGTCCATGTAAAGGGGCACTCTGATGGGAACAGTCCATGTAAGGGGGCACTCTGATGGGAACAGTCCATGTAAGGGGGCACTCTGATGGGAACAGTCCATGTAAGGGGGCACTCTGATGGGAACAGTCCATGTAAGGGGGCACTCTGATGGGAACAGTCCATGTAAGGGGGCACTCTGATGGGAACAGTCCATGTAAGGGGGCACTCTGATGGGAACAGTCCATGTAAGGGGGCACTCTGATGGGAACAGTCCATGTAAGGGGGCACTCTGATGGGAACAGTCCATGTAAGGGGGCACTCTGATGGGAACAGTCCATGTCACAAGCATTCCTGATGGGAACAGTCCCATGTAAGGGGGCACTCCTGATGGGAACAGTCCATGTAAAGGGGGCACTCTGATGGGAACAGTCATGGAAGGGGGACTCTGATGGGAACAGTCCATGTAAGGGGCACTCTGATGGGAACAATCCATGTAAGGGGCACTCTGATGGGAACAGTCCATTTTGACACTCTGGGAACAGTCCATGTAAGGGGGCACTCATGGGAACAGTCCATGTAAAAACTCTGATGGGAACAGTTAATGTAAAGGGGGCACTCAGATGGGAACAGTCCATGTAAGGGGAGCTCCACTTGATGGGTAACATGTCCCTGTAAATTGGGCACTCCATTCTGAACAGTCCATGTAAGGGGGCACTCTGATGGGAACAGTCCATGTAAAGGGGCACTGGAACAGTCGATGGGAACAGTCCATGTAAGGGGGGTCATGGGAACAGTCCTATGGGGGCACTGTCCATGTAAAGGGGCACTCCGATGTGATGGGAACAGTCCATGTAAGGGTGGCACCTCACCTATGGGAACAACAGTCCAGTGGGGGGGACTCTGATGGGAACAGTCCATGTAAGGGGGCACTCTGATGGGAACAGTCCATGTAAAGGGGGCACTCTGATGGGAACAGTCCCATGTAAGGGGCACTCTGATGGGAACAGTCCATCTAAGGGGGCACTTTGGGATGGGGGGCACAGTCTAGTCCGGGGGGCACTGTCAGAAGGGGACACACCAGATGGGAACGTGTGGTAAGTGTAAGGGGGGGGACACTCTGATGGGAACAGTCATGTAAGGGGAACACTCTGATGGGAACAGTCCATGTAAGGGGCACTCACTGATGGGAACAGTCCATGTGGGGCACTCTGATGGGGGACAGTCATCTCTGAAGGGGGCACTCTGATGGGAACAGTCCATGTAAGGGGGCTCTCTGATGGGAACAGTCCATGTAAGGGGCACTCTGATGGGAACAGTCCATGTAAGGGGGCACACTCTGATGGGAACAGTCCATGTAAAGGGGGGGCACTCTGATGGGAACAGTCCATGTAAGGGGGCACTCTGATGGGAACAGTCCATGTAAGGGGGCACTCTGATGGGAACAGTCCATGTAAGGGGGCACTCTGATGGGAACAGTCCATGTAAGGGGGCACTCTGATGGGAACAGTCCATGTAAGGGGGCACTCTGATGGGAACAGTCCATGTAAGGGGGCACTCTGATGGGAACAGTCCATGTAAAGGGGCACTCTGATGGGAACAGTCCATGTAAGGGGGCACTCTGATGGGAACAGTCCATGTAAGGGGGGGCACTCTCTGATGGGAACAGTCCATGTAAGGGGGCACTCTGATGGGAACAGTCCATGTAAGGGGGGGCACTCTGATGGGAACAGTCCATGTAAGGGGGCACTCTGATGGGAACAGTCCATGTAAGGGGGCACTCTGATGGGAACAGTCCATGTAAGGGGGCACTCTGATGGGAACAGTCCATGTAAAGGGGCACTCTGATGGGAACAGTCCATGTAAGGGGGCACTCTGATGGGAACAGTCCATGTAAGGGGGCACTCTGATGGGAACAGTCCATGTAAGGGGGCACTCTGATGGAACAGTCCATGTAAGGGGGGCACTCTGATGGGAACAGTCCATGTAAAGGGGCAACTCTGATGGGAACAGTCCATGTAAGGGGGCACTCCGATGGGAACAGTCCATGTAAGGGGGCACTCTGATGGGAACAGTCCATGTAAGGGGGCACTCTGATGGGAAAAGTCCATGTAAGGGGGGCACTCTGATGGGAACAGTCCATGTAAGGGGGAACTCTGATGGGAACAGAACAGTCCATGTAAGGGGGCACTCTGATGGGAACAGTCCATGTAAGGGGGCACTCTGATGGGAACAGTCCATGTAAAGGGGCACTCTGTGATGGGATGGGAACAGTCCATGTAAGGGGGCACTCTGATGGGAACAGTCCATGTAAGGGGCACTCTGATGATGGAACAGTCCATGTAAGGGGGCACTCTGATGGGAACAGTCCATGTAAAGGGGCACTCTGATGGGAACAGTCCATGTAAGGGGCACTTGATGGGAACAGTCCATGTAAGGGGGCACTCCGATGGGAACAGTCCATGTAAGGGGGGCACTCCGATGGGAACAGTCCATGTAAGGGGGCACTCTGATGGGAACAGTCCATGTAAGGGGGCACTCCGATGGGAACAGTCCATGTAAGGGGGGGGCACTCCGATGGGAACATGGGAGTCCATGTAAGGGGGCACTCTGATGGGAACAGTCCATGTAAAGGGGCACTCCGATGGGAACAGTCCATGTAAGGGGGCACTCCGATGGGAACAGTCCATGTAAGGGGGCACTCCGATGGGAACAGTCCATGTAAGGGGGCACTCTGATGGGAACAGTCCATGTAAGGGGGCACTCCGATGGGAACAGTCCATGTAAGGGGGCACTCCGATGGGAACAGTCCATGTAAAGGGGGCACTCCGATGGGAACAGTCCATGTAAGGGGGGAACACTCCGATGGGAACAGTCCATGTAAGGGGGCACTCCTCCGATGGGAACAGTCCATGTAAGGGGGCACTCCGATGGGAACAGTCCATGTAAGGGGGCACTCCGATGGGAACAGTCCATGTAAGGGGGCACTCCGATGGGAACAGTCCATGTAAGGGGGCACTCCGATGGGAACAGTCCATGTAAGGGGGCACTCAACAGTCCATGTAAGGGGGCACTCTCGATGGGAACAGTCCATGTAAGGGGGCACTCCGATGGGAACAGTCTATGTAAGGGGGCACTCCGATGGGAACAGTCCCTATGTAAGGGGGGCACTCCGATGGGAACAGTCTATGTAAGGGGGCACTCTGATGGGAACAGTCCATGTAAGGGGGCACTCTGATGGGAACAGACCATGTAAGGGGGCACTCTGATGGGAACAGTCCATGTAAGGGGGGCAGTCTGATGGGAATAGAGCCGTGCAGGTAGCTCACAAGCATTCACTACAGAGCATCTCACAAGCATTCCTCCTGTGCGCTCCTCAGCTCCGCCTCCTGGCTGCTCACAGTTGCTCTGCCCCTTTCTTATTGCCTCATCGGAGGGAGGAGTCTAGACTGGGGTGGGGCTCTATTCAGACAATGGGGTTTTGGTTGCAGAATGGAACTCCAATTTTGACTGGGAACACATGACCTCCACTTCCCCCTTTTTTTTTTTTTTTTTAAAAATGAACTTTAATGTAACGAACAATCAGAGGTATTGAGTGGAGCTCCACTTGACAGGTAACATGTGACCTCAAATTGGAGCTCCATTCTGCAGCCATTCCCTTCGTTTCTATGAACATATACACAGGAAATATGTGACAGGAAACATGACATCCACTTCGTTCAGCTGTGTCTATTGGTTGTTAGATTAAAGTTCGTTAAATGTAAAAAAAAGTGGAGTGGACCTCACCTAAAGTTTGAGTGGAGGCCTCAGTAGAGCAGAGTAGAGTAGAGCTCCATTCTGCAGCCCCCTCCACTCCGCTCAGCACCGTGCAGGAAGCTTCTCCAAGTACAGGGTCGATCTCTTAGGAACCGAGCTGAAGTCTAGCCACGCCCCTTTTTGACGTCATCGGAGGGAGGAGTCTAGACAGAGCGGGGGCTCGGCTCAGAAGGCAGCGACACTCCAGAGGGACGGACGTGTGGTAAGTGTGTGGAGTGACAGAGCGCCATCTGTCATCTGGGAGGGGAACAATCGGCAGCCAATGTAGCGGAAATGATTGTGAGATATGAAGTGTGCGGGGGGAGGGGCGGACTATCATCTCTGAGCCAGGCTGTGGGGGAGGGGCACATGAAATAAAGGGGCACTCCGATGAGGAAAGTCCATGTAAAGGGGCACTCTGATTGAACACTGCATGTAAGGGGGCACTGTGATGGGAACAGTCCATGTAAGGGGGCACTGTGATGGGAAACAGTCCATGTAAGGGGGGGCACTCCGATGGGAACAGTCCATGTAAGGGGGCACTGTGATGGGAACAGTCCATGTCCATGTAAGGGGGCACTGTGATGATGGGAACAGTCCATGTAAGGGGGCACTCTGATGGGAACAGTCCATATAAGTGGCATACAGTTTGTAAAAGGGGCACTCTGATGGAAACAGTCCATGTAAGGGGGCACTCTGATGGGAACAGTCTATGTAAGGGGGCACTCTGATGGGAACAGTAAATGTAAAAGGGCACTCTGATGGGAACAGTCCATGTAAAGGGGCATACTCTGATGGGAAACAGTGTATTTAAAGGGGCTCTCTGATGGGAACAGTCCATGTAAGGGGGCACTCTGATGGGAACAGTCCATGTAAGGGGGCACTCTGATGGGAACAGTCCATGTAAAGGGGCACTCTGATGGGAACAGTCCATGTAACGGTGCACTCTGATGGGAAGATTTTATGAAAGGGGGCACTCTGAAGGGAACAATCCATGTAAGGGGGCTTTCTGATGGGAATAGTTCATGTAAGGGGGCACTCCGATGGGAACAGTCTATGTAAAGGAGCACTCCGTTGGGAACAGTCCATGTAAGGGGGCACTCCGATGGGAACAGTCCATGTAAGGGGCACTCTGATGGGCACAGTCCATGTAAGGGGGCACTCTGAGGGGAACAGTCCATGTAAGGGGGCACTCTGATGGGAACAGTGTATTAAAGGGGGCACTCTGATGGGAACAGTCCATGTAAGGGGGCACTCTGATGGGAACAGTGCATGTAAAGGGGCACTCTGATGGGAACAGTCCATGTAAGGGGCACTCTGATGGGGCACTTTGTAAGGGGCACTCTGATGGGAACAGTCCATGTAAGGGGGCACTCTGATGGGAACAGTCCATGTAAGTGGGCACTCTGATGGGAACAGTGTATTTAAAGGGGCACTCTGATGGGAACAGTCCATGTAAGGGGGCACTCTGATGGGAACAGGCTATGTAAGGGGGCACTCTGATGGGAACAGGCTATGTAAGGGGGCACTCTGATGGGAACAGCCCGTGTAAGGGGCACTCTGATGGGAACAGCCCGTGTAAGGGGCACTCTGATGAGAACAGTCCCATGTAAAGGGGCACTCCGAAGGGAACAGTCTATGTAAAGGAGCACTTCGATTAGAACAGTCCATGTAAAGGGGCACTCCGATGCTAACAGTCCATGTAAGCAGGCACTCCGATGGGAACAATCCATGTAAATGGGCTCTCTGATGGGAACAGTCCATGCAAGGGGGCACACCAATGGGAACTTTGAATGTAAGTGGGCACTCTAATGGAAACACTGCATGTAAGGGGGCACTCTAATGGAAACACTGCATGTAAGGGGGCACTCCGATGGGAACACTGCAAGTAAGGGGGCACTCCAATGCGAATAGTCCATGTAAGGGGGCACTCTGATGGGAACAGTCCATGTAAGGGGGCACTCCAATATGGACATTTGTTTTTAATGGGAGATGTGATGGGGACAACAGATTAAGGGTGCACCCCGATTGGAGCAGTCCATGTAAGAAGGCATTCCAATTCGAGCAGTCCATGTAAGGGGGCAATCCAATGGGAAGATTCTATGTAAGGGGGCACTCCGATGGGAACACTGCATGTAAGGGGCACTCTGATGGGAAAAGTCCATGTAATGGGGCACTCATATGGGAACTGTCCATGGAAGGGGGCACTCCATCGGGAAGAGTCCAGGTAAGGGGGCACTCAGATGGCAAGAGTACATTTAAGGAGGCACTCTGATGGGAACACTGCATGTAAAGGTGTCCTGAAATAGGACCAGTCCATGTAATGGGGGCACTCCGATGGGATCTGTCCATGTAAGGCGGCACTCTGATGGGAACACACTGCATGTAAGGGGGCACTCCGATGGAAACAGTGCATGTAAAGGGGCACTCCAACACATTAGTGAAAGTTTCTAGGTGAACTCATAAAATTAATCTAAAGCATAATAAAATTTAAAGCAACAAAATTAAAAACCGAGGGGTGAATCTATTATACATAAATAGACTTTCCACTTTGCAAGTGCAGTTGCTCCACAGCTTAATAAGGGGAAACACTGCTGACATCCATAACCCTATCATGTGCAAGAAACAATGCTGTTCTTTTTCATTGTCATGCTTGTGATTGGGTAATCTTTACCAAGGGAAGCTTTGTTTCATGTACTAAGCTCTGGAACAATTGCACTTGCAAAGTGCACAGGCTATTTAAGTTTAGTAAATCAAGAACAAAGTTTCCATGTTTTATAAATTGTTCGTTCTTCTCCTTCACGTTGCAAATTAGAGAAGAAACGTTGATTAAAGAAGGGGAAATGTGTCGGGACATTACAGGCAGGGGCGGACTGACTATACAAACACTCGGGCACTGCCCGATGGCCAGTAGGGGGCCCCATGAGGGGCTCTTTTACTGCCCCTCTAATTGTTGCAGAGCACCAGTCATAGAGCGATCTCTGTACATGGTGCACCCCTCAGCAGCTTCCTGTCAGTCCCCATAGATCAGTGACATGAAGGTCACCTCACACACACACATATCCCTTAACCTGAGTACAGAACGGAGACAGTCAAGAGCAGGCATGGCAAGCCCCTCCTCTGCAGCCCGCTCACAAGGATCACGCACAGCTCCGGCTCTGCAGCCAGAGCTGCTGCACACAGAAGGTTTTTTACTTTCATACATAGAATGCATAAAGGTAACAAACCTTGAGCCTTTGCAACCACTTTAACCCCTCAATCATTGGGAATCTTTACTGTACTACGTAGCAAGCAGGTGCTATCTACAGACCCCTGAAAAGCACCCCCAATTTTTTAGCAGAGTGCTGCATACACCACACCTTTTTATCTAGTATTAGGGCCCAAGTTATGATCTTGTACACAAGCCTACTGGTTTCATAAAACGCACCTGGTTGCGTTACAAAGATAGCTGCTGCACATTGTCCAAATTTATACCTGAAAGTTCCCTTCAGCTTCTACAAAAGGAAGCCAGGAACTTATATGCAGGCTGTGCTATATTAACCAAATGATCAGGCTCACAGAGATTCCTGGAGGAATGGTTGGGAAGCCTGTGGGCACCTGACAGGTTCTCAGATGGCCGCCAACTTTGAACCTGTCATGTCTTTGGTGGCTTCCCAGCAATAGCAAGGGGAATCTCTGTGATCCTGAGCTGCAAACAATAATTGGGCATTGGCTCATTCCTGAACGTGGGGGCCCAACAGCTTCTGCAGTTTGCTGATGGGCTCTTCTATGCAGCTGGGATGCAATATGTGGAGGATGGCTGCCACAAATGCATATAATGTAAACAGTGCATTATGTAGTTTGAGCTTTGTGTAGGTGTGGCTTGAGTGTGGGTGGGGACACATGGGGCCCCATGATCTACTATTGCCCAGGGGCCCCATGAGTTGTCAGTCCGCCCCTTACTGTGACCTTGTGACATGAGCTTTAGGGTTGTTGTAATATATCAGGTGTGAGTCTCTTCCCTGTTGCCTGTGCAGATTACGCAAGTGTGACGACTGTATAAAGGGGAAGAAGGTATACTTCTTTATGGCGGGCATTCAGCATTACCTGTTAACCTAAAACACCAACGTTCGTGATTATTAGGAGTTCAGTTTATATGTATAGGTGTATTTTCCAGAACAAGTATGTTTGAGTTTTTATAAAGTGTAGAATGTGTGACGGGCTAAAAGAGAATCCATCTGCATGGTTTAGACATGTCGCTGATTAGTGACAATTCAGTCTTGCAATGTCACCAGGGACACTGTGCTTGTGGTGAGTTGTCATCATCATCATCCACCATGACCTTGTGACATGAGCTTTAGAGTTGTTGTAATATGTCAGGTGTGAGTCTCTTCCTGCTGCCTGTGCGGATTACACGAGCGTGACAACTGTATAAGGGGTTTGTGGATAAGAACACCAACGTTCGAGTGATGGAAGTTCAATTTATATGTATAGGTGTATTTTCCAGAAGGGGTTAGATGAGTCAAATGGGACACTGTGCTTGTGGTGAGTTGTCATCATCATCATGCCACCAGTGACCTTGTGACATGGTCTTTAGAGTTGTTGTAGTAAATCAGGTGTGAGTCTCTTCCCTGCTGCCTGTGCGGATTACACGAGCGTGACAACTGTATAAGGGGGAAGAAGGTATACTCCTTTATGGCGGGCAGTCAGCAGGACCTGTTAACCAGACACACCAACGTTAGTGATGATTAGGAATTCAATTTATTTGTATAGGTGTATGTTCCAGAACAAGTATGTTTGAGATTTTATAAAGGGTAGAATGTGTGACGGGCTAAAAGAGAATCCATGTGCATGCCTCAGACATGTCGCTGATTATTGACAATGCAGTCTTGCAATGTCACAAGGGCCACTGTGCTTGTGGTGAGTTGTCATCATCATCATCCACTGTGACCTTGTGACATGAGCTTTAGAGTTGTTGTAATATGTCAGGTGTGAGTCTCTTCCCTGCTGCCTGTACGGATTACACGAGCGTGACGACTGTATAAGGGGGAAGAAGGTATACTCCTTTATGGCAGGCAGTCAGCAGGACCTGTTAACCTGAAACACCAACATTCGTGATTATTAGGAGTTCAGTTTATATGTGTAGGTTGTCTTGGAAATTCACTTTAACGAATTTCTCCTTGCCGTGAGTACTCGCAGTTGGATGCGCAGAAATCCCCCATAAAGCTGTGCGAATCTCGCTTACCACGACTGCAGCTAAACTACACAATTCCTTCCCATCCAAATGGGTTAGCTTCTGTTGAAATGTGGGGGGTGGCGTGTGTGTATTTGTAATAAAATTAAAGGGGAGAATGAAAACTTCCTCTATGTGAATTCCAACAGCAACCTGAAAGTGTCGTGTGATCATTTCCAGGTATAGGGAGCTCCAATCACCCACATCTCAACAGAAGGTAAAAGTAGTTGGATGGGCAGGAATCGTGGCGTTTAGTTGCAGTCGTGGTAAGCGAGATTCGCACAGCTTTATGGGGGATTTCTGCGCATCCAACTGCGAGTACTCACGGTAAGGAGAAATTCGTTAAAGCGAATTTCCAAGACAGTTTGGCGAGCCAGTGGATATTAACGCGAATTCTGCGATAGCTAACCAAGTTCGAGGGGGGAATGAGCCATCATGAACTAGCAAAAAGTATGCCGCACATTTCAGGTCTCTCTGCCATTAAGAGGATCGCTTTTTGCGCGTTCGTGTGGCTGATTTCGCTCTCTGTTAGCTAACGTGAATTCCGCTTAACAAGGACCTAGTTTTTGTCCTAAAATCTTGATTTGTGGGTGAAAGACAAGGGTTTGTCTCTGCGGAGAGCAGCAGAGGGGTGGGTTTGGTTGGCTGGATTTGGTCAAGTTTAAAAATCTTCCAACCAAAAATTAAACGGGTATATGTTTTAGCGGATAAAAGTTGTTGCATAGTGTTAGGTAAGTATTTGCGGGTTGTAGGTACTGTGGTAATTGCTTTACCCCCCTCCACGTGAGGTAATCATTACAGTGCTGAAAGGTTTAGGTTAATTGTTAACTGTTGTAAGATCTTTGTGTGTATGTAGTCTGTGCAATGTTTTGTCGGTACTACTGCTCCCAGCAAGCATGCAGCAGGGGGTCCTTTCTGTTACATGTGCATGTTAGTGTGATATGTTGGTGTTTTATGTCTGTCCTGTGATTATACCAAATTGTGTTGTATGTGTGCTGCATATTGTTGTGTAATTGTCCAGTGTATGTTCTGTCCAAAAGTCTGTTTTATGTAAGAGGTTAGAGGCAATTTATGAGGCTAGTGTTCCCATGTGCTTTCCCTGTTGGTGGCCATTTTGTTGACTGCCATGTGTTCCCTGTTGGTTGCCATTTTGTTGACTACCACATGTGCAGTAATCTCTATGCAATGTGCATGAAGTTTCCTATATGCATTTGACCCATTTTGTGTTTTTAATCCAAATTTTTATAGTTTAAGTTGTTTGCTTTTAGCTTTAAATTTCGCGTATTGCGAGCCAATTTAAAGTGTGTTAAGCGAGTTTTTTCCCTCACGTGTTCCACATTTAGTGAGCGCGGTGAAGTTTGGGTTTTTGCACATAGATTTCTTGTATAGTGATTATGTTTTTCTTGTGTTTTTCCTGTTAAAAGTAGTTCCTTATTGTAAAGCGGGTTTGTTTTAAGCTGCTGCGTCACGTGTTTCACGTCCAGCAGACTTTTTGTGTAAACGGTTTTAGGTGGTTGCAGCGAAGATTGCGTGTGTAACGTGGATCGTTTAGCGGCGCTGGTATGAGTGATTTTTGCGTCAGCAACAAGGTTACTTTTGGCGCAGTTTTTTCGGTTTACCTCCGTGTAATTGTTTTACTGCGAAATGTCCCGTGTTTTTCATAAGGATCCACTTTGTCCTTTTTAACGGTTTTTCAGGTTGAAAAGGGGTTTTTCTGTGTGTATTAGGAAAGTTTTTTTCTTTACACAAATTTCCTAAAGGTCAGTTAGCAGCTTTCCGGCCAACCAGTGACCCCTAAGTAACATCCAAGAACCCCTCTTTTTGTTTTGACTTGTGTTAGCTACTGTGTGCAGGGAGAGAAAAGCCACTTTCATCATTGTGCGGTGTGGCCTGCCAAACACAGTGGGTGATGAGAACCACATAAATTACGCTGTGCGAGTGGGCGGTCCAGGGAAGTGTAACGCTTAGCCTGGTTACCACAAACACTTC